ACAGGACAAGGATGATGTGGCCTGCTGTGGGAATTAAGAGAAGTGATGTGAGGGCTGGAGAGACAGTGCAGGGGTAGGGCCCTTGCCTTGCACGTGGTTCGATCCCCAGAACCTCTTACGGTCCCCAGAGCCGGGAGTCCCAGAATGCAGAGCCAAGAGTAAATCCTGAGAACTGCCGGTTGTGCCCCCCCAACAAACCAAAAATGAGATAATATGGGGGGGGCTGGAGCGATAGCACAGCGGGTAGGGCGTTCGCCTTACAAGCGGCCAACATGGCCAACCCCAGTTCGATTCCTCCGCCCCTCTCGGAGAGCCCGGCAAGCTACCGAGAGTATTCGATATGCCAGACACAGTAACAACAAAGTCTCCAATGGAGACGTTACTGGGCCCGCTCGAGCAAATCGACGATCAGCGGGAGGGCCTTTACCTTTACCTATGGGGGGCTAGCATTTGCCATGCATGCAATTGACCTGGGTTTCATCCCACTGACCCCCACCAGGAGCAAGGCCTGAGCACTGCTGGGTGTGGTCCAGAGAGGTGAGATGCACAGTGCCTGCTAAATGCTTGTGTAACTCACCCCGGGATGCATGGGGGTGGGGGAGGGGGGAGCTGAGGTCCTGCTCTGCTGGCGCTGCAGGTGGAGTGGGGTGGGGACACTTCTCGGTCACATTGGACAAGGCAGTTGGAGGGGCCCAGGCTGGTGTGGAGCTGCTGTGTGTGCAGCGTGCCTCTTCTGTTGTGTCTGCCCCTGAGCACCGTGATCCCACCTCTGGTAGGCAAGGAGGAGCAGGGGCGGAGGGGGAGCAGCAGGAGGAGGAGGGAGAGGAGCAGGAGGAGCAGGAGGAGGAGGAACAGGAGCAGGAGGAGGAGGAGGAAGGGGAAGAGTAGAGGGAGGAGGAGGAATGGGAGGAGGAATGGGAGGAGGAACGGGAGGACGGGTGGGACCTCCGCAGAGCAGGCGTGTCTCGTCCCTTGGCGAGCTTGGGGGTCTAGGTCCAGAGCTTGCTAGGTGGAGGCTGCTCTTCGCCTTCTGTTTTTTTGTTTCCTGTTTGGGGGCCACACCTGGCTGTGCTCAGGGCTAACTCCTGGCTCTGCACTCAGGGTCCTGGCTGGGTTGCATTAGCAGGGTAAGCGCCTTGCCCACTGGGCCATTGGCAAGGCAAGCGCCTGATCCGCGGTGCTATCACTTGAGCCCCCGCTTCTGCCCTTCTTGCATCTGCTCTGAGCCTGTGGAGAGGGGCAGGGGGGCCAATCTGGGGGCCAGGACGGGGCTCGGGGGGCGGGGTGCTGAGGGCCCCAGGAAGGATGGAGCGGCCAGGGGTGGGCGGTGAGCAGAGCCGGGAGGAGGGAGCTGGGGCCTGTTCTGGCAGGTCATGTGAGGACAGGGGTGTGGGCAAGGCCAGTGCAGCCGGCAGCAAGGCCTTTGGCCTCTCCCAGGGGCTCCTGAACAGGTCGGTCAAGTCAAGGCCTCATGTCCTGGGAGTGTGCAGGGTCTCAGCCTTCTTAGTCGCCTCACACTCAGACCCCGAGGCTGTGGGAGGCTAGAGGGGACAGCCTGGCCCCAGCTGGGGAGAGGCACGGCACAAGGGACTCGGCCAGGCCTGGCGGACTCACTGCGGAGCCAGGGCCAGCATGTGACTCTCGGGGTCCCCCTGCTTCTCTCCAGTGAAACGTGGGAGACAGGAGACACTGTGGTGGCTGGAGGCCATGAACCCCGCCCCGGAGGGAAGGGGAGAGGGTACCGGCGCCAGAGGGAGAAACTGGGCTTGGGACAGGCCCTGGCCCCGGGCCCAGGGGCCGGGGGCGGGGCGCACATGTGTTTGGTGTTGTGAGGACTGGCCAGCTCACAGGCGCGGGGGCTGCCAGCGCCGGCCTCGGGTCCCGGCTGTGTACACGGCCAGGAGGGATGAGGTCAGCCCCGGAGAGCAGCCCTGAACTCCCACTCTGGGCCCCGGGGGGTCTGGTCCCCTGCACAGCCTGGCCTGCCCTGAACCACCAGGATTTTCCATGGTTCCTGCTTCCCAGGGTGTGCTGGGGAGAGGTGAGGCTTGCTCTCTGGGCCTGCAAATCACTCCCGTCTCACCCCACCCCCGAAGTCCCGAGGGGAAGCTGATAGCCAGCACTTGCCGTAATGCTTGCACTGCCTCTTCCAGGAAGGTCTCCATGAGACCCGAGCACTTGGTGGAGTGGCCCCCTGCTTGGGGCTCCTTGCCTGATCGCAACACTGAGGTGCCCCCACTGCCATGCCCTGCCTGCCCCCACCCACTTCCATGCCCATAGGGCCTGAATTTGACGCAAACCAACACAGACCTTTTAGGAGAAATGCCTTTAGCCCCCAGGGAGGCCCATGGGGAAAGACCCTGCTAAGCACTGAGACCCCCCCCAATCTCTGGACGCAGTCCTGTGGGCCAGGAACACCCGGCTGAGCCCCCAATACAGGTTTGCATCCTAAGGAAGCCTCCTCCAAATGTTGGCCCCCTCTGGGAGAACGTTCTATTATCACAGGCTCCAATGCAGTGGGTGGGTCAGTAGGACCACAGCACCTGGCCTCCGTTGCTGCTTCTGGGGGGCTGGTTTTGGGGCCACCCCTGGCTGTGCTCAGAGCTGAGTCCTGACTCTGTGCTCAGGGATCAGTCCCAGGGGGTGCTGGGCTGGGGATGGAACAGGGTCACCACGTGCTCAGCAAGCACCCACCTCTCCCGGGCTTTTCCAACCAAGTGTGGGATGGGGGGGGGGGGGGCGCTGCGGAAAACTCAGCCACGGTCCACGGTTCTGAATGTGCATCGACCACAAATCAATTCAAAACCAACCGTGACGCAAATCCCGGGGGTTTCCTGCCTGTGCTGTATTTCGCAGGAGAAAATGGGTTCCTGAGTTCGGAAAAGGGTCAAGGAAGGAAGTCTGGTCTAAACAGTCCTCCAGGGCGGGCAATGCCACCCCCCTCCTGCCCCCACTGGGCACGCTGGAACACCCAGGGAGGCGGTAGAAGCCTGGGGTACAGTGGGGAGCAGTCTGTTTCCTTAAAGGAGGTAGACTTCAAGGGAGTACTGGCACCACGCAATCATTTTTTTTTTCTAGGAAGGGGGCAGTGGGCAAACAGTCTCGGCCTGTGTGCCATCCTACAGGGAGATTCTCAAAGGGTGACCAGGATCTTTGCCCCGGATGTAAGGGGGCGGGTGCCACCAGCCCTTCTCTCCACCCCTCAGCAGTAGGTTCTGGCAGGGGGTAAGGGACCATCTCAAGACAAGGCAGTGGTCCCTGTGTTGATCAGGACAGAGTGGCAAAGGGTGAGGGCTGGCACCGGTGTCCCGATGCCTGGGAGCTCAGCCTTCGCTGATGGGCCTGGCACAGCCTCCTGGGGTGGAACCGAGACGGAAGCTGTCCGAGGGCTGGGGCGGCCAAGTGTGTGTGCTGGGGACTGCAGGGCGGCCCTTGACCGAAGCTGACTTTGGACTTGCAGCGGCTGAAGCAGCCAAGGGGTTTCTAGGACAGAGCGTGGGTCAGTCACTGCCAGCCCTGCGTGGGTCTGTTCCACAGCGGCCTGTGAACAGTTTTGTGACGCCACCTCTCGAAAGAGAGGCACATCCCTCCCCACCCCTGCCCCTGCACTGGTGGCCTGGATCGCCCCCACATTGGATCCCCCTCACCCCATAAAGTCAGCAGGGAGACCTATCCCAGCTGAGACTCGCCAGGCCAGGCTAGGGGGAGCTGAGCGCTTTGAGTGAGGCTCTGGCTTGGGGGAGGGGGGAAATTTAAGAGGGTGCCTCAAGCCCCAGTAACTCGGTAATAGCCTATCACCGTTTTACAGGGGCCTCTGCCTGTGGTGTTAGCGGGGGGCGGGGGGAGGGGGGGTGCACCAAAGCCCCATTACAAAGTGTTCTGGGGACCTGTGGTACCAGGGATGGAACTCGGGGTCTCACACATGCGAGGGAACTCTGCTGCTCGAGTTATATCCCTGGCCCCAAAGAGCGATACTTTTCCAAATCAAAAAGAATTCATGCAAAAAGACACCTCTGATGAACAAGACTCAAACTTTCCAAAGTAGGCAGGATCAATGTGGTGATTTCTCTGTTTGCTGCAGGCCCCCGTATGGCTTGGCAGGCTACCCTCACTCGTTCTATTTAAAACCTGGGTTCATCCTAATGGTTTGGCATTTTTAAGTTTCTAGAATGCATCAAAGCATCATGGACCTCACTGCTGAGCTTTGAGAGCCCCTTAAATTCTGTGCCCTGGCAGTGCCTCACTCCCTTCGCTCTTGATCTTGATCGGACCTTGCAGTGCCCCTCCCCCCTCCCTCCACCAAAGGATGCTCCATCATTAGGTCAGTTCTCTGGCTGGGTGTTCCCTCACCCCCAGCCCCAGCCCATATACGCGAGTCCCAGGATGCTTTCCTGACCTCTGCCCCCACCTTATCCCCGAGGTTGCCACAGGGTCATCTCTGAGGCTTGAGGCAGCATCCTGGTCAGGAAGAGGGAGGGAGAGGGAGAAGGTGCTGTCCCCGTGTACCAGGATGCCCACGCCAGGTCTGGAAGGGGCCTCCTCCTATGCCGGACAGTCCCTCCATCCCACTTGCCCCAAGTCAGGCTCAGAGCCCAGGCCTGCTATCCCAAACCCTGGCCCTGCGGCGGCAGGCAAGTGTGGATGGAGGCTCTGGGGCTGCTGGTTATGATGGTGACGGGCGAGGGAGTGACGATGGTGGTGATTCTGGCGCTGGTGGTGACGGGGGTGTTGGTGATAAAGGTGATGGTGTTGGTGGTGATATGGTGGTAGTGTGGCGATGGGGTGGTGATGACAGAGGTGTTCCTGATTATAACGGAGGGAGTAGTGATAACAACGGTGGAGGTGATGATGGTGTTGGTACCCGCGGCGGTGAGAACGGTGACGGTGGAGTGTGCGTTTGGGGTGGGGACGGGGGTCCCGGCTTAGCCACTCGGGGAGCCAGCTGTCTGTGGGGGTCCCGGAGGGGGCCGTGCGCGCACCGCGCGCGGGTCGGTACTCACCGCGGCCGTTCTGGTTGGGCCGGTACACGCTGCCCACGCTCAGGCGGCCGCCGCCGCCGTTGTTGCGCGTGTCCCTGCGCTCGGCTCCCGGCGGGGGCGCGTCGGAGCTGCGCACGGGCAGGTAGGGCGGCTCCTGCACGCGGAACGGGGGCTGCGGCTCCACGGCGCGCGGCGGCGAGTAGGCCTCGGGCGGCACGTTGGCGTAGGGCGGGTACCAGCCGGGCCGGGGGTCGGGCCGGGGGTCGGGCCGGGGGTCGGAGCCCGCGTCGGGGTAGGCGGGCTCGGCGGGCGCCGCGCCCTCGCTGTACAGGCTGTGCGAGTAGCGGCGGTCCAGGCCGTCGGCGGGCGCGTAGGGCCGCTCGGGCGCCGGGTAGTAGCCCTGCGGCGGCGGGTACTCGGGCTGCTCCTCGCCCGCGCCCGTGCCCGTGCCCGCGCCCCCGTACTCGTCGTAGCGCGCGCGCGGCTGGTAGGGGTACAGCACCCCCGCCGAGGCCACGGCCGCCGCGCCCGCGCCCGCGCCGCCCCCGCCGCGGTAGTACACGTAGCCCTGGTCGTAGGTGCGCGCCGCGGGGTCGTAGTTCTCGTACTGGCCCACGTAGGGCGCCTGCGGGTAGGGGTACTGCGGCGGGAAGGGGCCCGGCTGGCGGTAGGTGCCCGCGAAGGCCGACGCCGACACGCTGGCCGAGCCGCCGTGCTGCGAGACGGAGGTGCGCGCCCGCGCCAGGCCCGCGCCGTCCCCGACGGCCACCTCGCGCCAGTTGTCGGGCACCTGGCCGAAGCCGAACGGGTGCCGCGCCTGGCCGCGTACCGTGTCCGAGCCCGCGCGCCCGGGCTGCGGCAGCGACGGCGCCTGGCGCCTCCGGGGGCCCCCGGGGCTGCGCCGCGGGGCCGGCTGCGGGGCGCCCGCCAGCAGCACCCGCGGGCTAGCCTGGGCGCGCGCCGGCCCGGCCGGCACGTACTCGGAGCCCGAGTTGAGCAGGCTGTACACCTGCCCGTTGTTCTCCCACTGGATCAGCTGCCGCCAGCGCCCCGGGTCCGAGCCGGGCCCCGGCGCGGCCTGCTGAGCGCGCACCAGCGCGCAGAGCCACGCGCCCCACACCAGGGCCCCCAGCTGCCGGCCGGTCATGCTGCGCGCTGCCCGGGCCCCGCGCCCCGCGCCCCGCGCCGGCTGCTCTCCCCGCCGCCCGCAGGACAGGACGCTCGCTCGCCGGCCCCGGCTCTAGCTCTGTCCATCCTGGCCGGGTCCCGAGTGGGGCGGCTCCTCCGATGACAGCATTTCGAGACCCAGGGGTCAGGGCAGGGCAGGGCAGGGGCGTGCCCGGGGCCGCGCGAGGCGCGCGCTCTGCAGGGCACCGGGCAGGCCGGGCCGCCTGGGGGCCTTGCGAGAGCTGCCCGGCACTGCTGGCCCTCGGGGCTGGCCGGTCCCCACTCTGAATGAATAAGCAAGCGCGGGGCAGGGAGCGTTGGGAGGTTCTGGGGCCGCCGGGGCTGCCTGCTGGGCCTTCGTCCGCGGGGCCCTACGGCCCGCCGGGTTTTAGCTATGTGGCCTGTCCCTTCAGTCCCTGGAGCTCCGTGCCAAGCCGCAGACCAGCCCCTCACCGAGGAAGGGGACCCCGGAGACGGAGGCCCGGGGCCGGGGGCTTGGGGCCGAGCTGCCACCTCTGCGGTGCCCTCCCGGACAGTACTCTCCGCTTGGGACCTAGAACCCCTGGTCTCACCTAAGTCCGGCCTTCTTTCTGTTTTCTGTTTTTAGTTTGGGGACCACATCAGGTCGTGTGCAGGGTGATTCCTCGTTCTGCGCTCAGGGATCACAACCTGCGGCTCCTGGCCGGGTTCGAACCCTGATCGGTTTCTGTGAAAGGCAAGTGCCTCGCCTGATGCACCACTATCACTCTGGCTCCAGTCCTGCCTTCCTGCTTGGGCTTGAACCAGCCCCAACTCCTATACGCTCCAGTTTCTCCCCAAAGCCCTGCTGAGGGACATCCTCCTGGGGAGATGCTGGCCAGGGTGCACCCTCCAGCGTTGTGCCCCAAGCCCTTGGACCCGAGCACAGAGAAGACGCTGATTCTCCTCCCTCCTCCGGCTCAGTCCCTGAGCCTCCCTTTGGGGGAGGTTCCTGAGAGGGAGAGAGGGGGGAGGTAGGACAGATGGACAGCTGTAGCCCTAGAGTATCTGCCCCTCTTCTGCATTGCCATCACAGCCAGGGACATCCCCAGCCACGAGGATGGAACCGACCCCGGAGCTGGCTGTGATGGGGAAGATGGGGGCCATCATGGTGGGCTGTGAGCACAGCTCAGAGAGTTCTCGAGGGCTGGGCTCCTCTCCATGGGGTGATTTAGTGATGGGTGATCCTGGGCAAGTCCCTTTCCCGCTCTCTGTCCAGTGGGTGAAACCCAGCAGTGGAGGGTCAGAAGACCTGGTCCCGAGTGTGCTTGGATGGAGGAGGAGCTGTCTGGTAGGGACCCAAGCGGTCCGGACCTGTGGTGCCATAAAATCCTACTTTGATCACCAGCTCTGTTGCCTGCTCACACGTTGCTCTGGCAACTAGAGGTTGGGGACCTCAGGAGGCTGTAGTAGGTTATCCTTCATCTCTAAGAAGCTCTGGGAGCCCACCAGGGAGGATGTTCTTCAGGGACCCCCCCCAGACACCCCATCCCTAAGCTTACCAGCTGCCATTGTTTCACCCTAAGCCCTGCCTTGCGGGTGAGACTTAGTTGGGTGACCTGGGGTGTCAGCCCAGTCTCTGCAGGTGGTTTCTTCCCCGATCCCCTTGGCCCCCAAGGTTCAGTCTTGGGGTCCCAGACCCTCGGACTCTGCAGCAGGTAGGGACTGACTGGGCTCAGGGTCGCAGGACTGGAAGGCCGGCATCTAGAGGGTTAAGCCTTCCCTGACTCCTGCCAGCCTCCTGCAGTGCTGGCCTTGGTTGCTGGAATCTCTGGGGTCCTATAGGGCCCTCCTGCCAGCCAGATGGGCAACAGCGCGGGTGCCAGCGGAGAAGTGGAAACAGGCCTCTGGCTACCCCAGGCAGGCGGGAAGGGCAGGGCAGGGAAGGAAGGAAAGGAGGGAGGGGAGCCCCACTGGCCAAGGAGAAGGTAGTACCCCTCTTTCGGGACGGGGGGCGGGGGTGGGTGGGGAGCCCCCGGCTGCCCCCGAAACCCTCCCCTGAGCTGTGCTGGTTCCTGCTCCACTTTTCTTTTTTCTTAATAAGGCCGAGTGAGATTGAGCTGCCGGGGCCAAGTTTCCTGTTCGGCTGTTTGAATAAACTCTGCTCTGCACAGGCGCCTGCAGGGAGGCTGCGGAAGCCTTTGGGGTCTCCATCCGCGCCTGGCCAGTGACACCTTTCTTGGGGCACATTTGGGAGGCTAATGAAAGGTGTGGCCCCAGTTCCAGGCACGTGACCACTTTCTTGCCTCTGACCTGGCTGGAGGCGGCCCAGGGTTTGTCTCCCGGGGTCCTGCCCAGACCCTCCCAGTCCTCTCTGTCCTCCTGTGCTTGCCCTGTTCTTATGTGGAGGGTGTTTGGGGGGCAACCACAGTGCTGGGGGACCGTATGCAGAGCTGGGGGTTGCACCGGGGCCTCGTCCCACGGGGCCATCTCTCTGGCCATGTCATGTTTTCAGTCTTCTGCCTCCTTTCTTGCCCAGGGGAATGTAGTGTGCCCTGCACAGAGGGCATCTATGGGACGTACTCGTCTCTCCTGTCCCCTTTGTCCCTCTGACCTCACTGCAGGACCCCTTCCGGTGCTTCTCCATGTGGCATCCTTTGACAGGCCCCTGGAGAATCTGGGTGCTTGTGAGAGGCTGGGGCTGCCTAGCAAGAAGGCTAGAGCTTAAGTGGAACAAAGCCCTGGACGCTGCCGCTGGGCCCAGCCCGGTGGCCTGGAGGTGAGGGGGTCAGGCAGCCCCTCTCCAGGCCTCTTCCCATGGGCTGGAATTTAGAGCTGCATTTTTGAAGCCCAGCCATGCGGTCGAAGCTGCTGCCAGACCCTGGTACAAGGCACCGGTCTCGGGGGACCTGGAGTGGGGAGCAGTGGCAGAGGCTGCGTGACTTCGCGGGCCTGGCCGCAGGGTCCCATGACCATGGGGTAAAAGGGCCCTGGAAAGTTTGGGGGCAGCTGCAAGGGTTTGGGGAGCAGGAGCTCTTGCAGGGGAAAGGGGCCCTCTGCTGAGGGCTGCTGGGGTCGGGACATTTCTGTGGGTGAGGAGGGGCAGCAGGCTCTGGGGGTGCTCCTGTCCTCTGTTTCCTGCTGTGTGCAGTGTGGGGGACCCCTTCCTGCCCAGGCAGGGGCATGTGGGGGGGGGCTGCTCCAGTAGGATGGGGGAAGGGAGCCCTAGCCCAGCTCTGCAGAGGAGGTGGGGGAGGGGCCTGTGGCCCAAGGGGCGGGCTAGGAGGAGGCCAGAGAGCTGGCAGGGAAGAGGACCACCGAGTGACCCCTGCCAGCTGGGTCCGTGCCTGCTCCTCCCCTGCAGCCGCATCTGGCACAGCATGGGGGACCGGGAGGAGGCCCTGCCCCCCACCCCCATACGGAAGAGGCTTTTTCTCTTCTGGGCAGCAGACCACCCCCATGCCGGAAGTGGGGGAGGGGAGGCAGTGCTGGGGAGGGGGTGGGAAGGAACCCACACTTCTCTCGGACCCAGGGGGTGTGGGGGTAGGGAGAGTTTAGCTGCCTCCTCCCAGCTCTCCAGCCCCCCCTCCCCTGCGCTCTCCGGGGAGTTGCAGATACCAGAGCTGACAGAACACTCTGGGCATCCAGGCTGCACTGGAGGCAGGACGCCCTCGTCCCCCTCAGCCCCTTCCCAGTCAGCTTCTCCCAGGAGGCAGGCAGGGCTGGGGCCTCCTGGCAGGGGTGAGCGGCCAGAGCCTGCTTTGCAGGGTGGGGGCATATGGGTGAGGCCTGCTGGGGGGGAGGGGGGCGACTAGGGCCTTAGGTCCAGGTGGGGGTGGGTCTCAGCCAGCAGGCAGTGGGCAGGAGTTCCCCTGTCCAAAAGGGCAAACCAGCAGCAGCAAGCAGGGTGCCAGGCCGCTGGACTGCAGCCTGGCACAGTTTGGAGAACAGGCAGGGAAACCGAGGCAGGAGCACTGCAGTTCCTGCTAGGCACAGTCTGGCAAGGCCTTGGGCAGGCACTCCATCCTTCTGACTGTCCCTTTTGTTTTCCTGCCCCGATACCCTCCGTCTGGGTCTCTGGTTTTGAGCATGAACATTCAGTCTCAAGTGTCTTTTTACCCTCTCTCCCCATGCCTGTCTCTGCCTCTTCATACTCCTCCGTCTCTGGTGACTGTAGTTGTGCCGACAGGCATCCATCCTTTGTTCCCTCCTGCCATCACCGTGTATCGGCAGCTGCTGCCACCACACTGGTCCAGTCCCCTGCATGGGTAAGAACAGAGTGAGGGGCCTTGAGGGTGAGCATGGCCCCTGCGCTGTGACTTGGAGAGACAGAACTCTTCTGTACCTTTTATTTATTTCTTTATTTATTTCTTTATTTCTTTATTTACTTATGGTGGGGCTCTGGGCTGGAACGATAGCACAGCAGGTAGGGTGTTTGCCTTGTATGGGGCCAACCCGGGTTCGATTCCTCTGTTTCTCTCAGAGAGCCTGGCAAGCTACGCCCGCACAGCAGAGCCTGGCAAGTTCCCCGTGGCATATTCGATATGCCAGGCACACTAACAACAAGTCTCATCATGGAGACATTACTGGTGCCCGCTCGAGCAAATCGATGAACAACGGGATGACAGTGCTACAGTGCTATGCTGGGGCTCTGGGGGCTTCTGCTGACCCACAGACGACAGTTCAGAGCAAGGGTCTGAGGAAGCAATGCTGGAAGGAGCCTCTGTGCTCAGCCCTCCCATGATATTGGGGTGGGGTGGGGGAGTCCAGGACTGCACATGGCAATGCTCTGCTCCTGCAAGATAGAGGCACTCGCCTTGCACGCAGTCAGCCAGCTTGGAAATTGGCACTGCAGATGGTCCCCTGAGCACCATCAGGAGTCACCACTGGGCACAGAGCAGGGAATAGCCCCCGAGGAATCCAAAACCTGGAAAGGAGGTCTTTGGAGTCAGAGGAGATCCTCAGGGGTATGCAAACGCATGCTCCACGGGGACTTTGCGACCAAGAAAACTCTGGCTCTCCCACAGGAAGGAAGTGGTTGGCATCGAGAGACATGAAGGTGACCCTCTGCCCAGCTGCCCATCTGAGGCCCAGGTCAAGGCTTGAGGTTCCTCCCGCCTGGAGTTTAGGGGGCCACGCTGAAGGAGGCAAAGCTGACCGTGAGAGAAGCTGAGGCTGGAGCCTGCCCTGAGCCAGAAGTCCCCGGCCACCTGGGACAGGGCAGGAATGGTGCCCACAGGAGCTCCTGCCTTCAGCCGGAGAGGCAGAGAGGAAAGGTCATGGCAGATGAAGGTCACTTGGCATGGGAAAATGTGGGTCATGTGATAAATAAGATAATAAGCAGTGGGG